TTAAGTTTTGTTAATACCTGCTAAGGTGGAGTTAACATCGACAATTAATTCATTCTGATTTATTATCCCTTCCAGTACTTCAATGCTTTTACCTATTTTATGTATTTATTACAATATAAGCGCCTATTGGGCGAAATTCAAAATTCGTAACCATTGATTTTGCAATTTTTTTAAAGGAATGGATTTGCATTTCTCTACACAAATTTCAAACATGTTAAATTTCATATCCGTTTAAGTAATTTATTTACAAAAAGGGGGTATAATGTTTTCACTTGTATAAAATGTTTTTCTTAACTTTGTTCAAGCGGAATTAATAATATTAATAAGTTATGTTTTTTTCCAGACTATGTTTTATATCTGTGCTAAATTCAACAAGATCTGTTAAACGATTTTGGATATACATAGAAACAAACAACCAAGAACTTTCGCATTTATATTAGTACTAGCTGTTGATTGTGACTTCATCTGTGTGAAATTGAAAAACATAATCTATGTTACTCACAGATAATTTACCTTTCCAACAGACTTTAATTGGCTCAGTAGTTTTTGAGTTATTTGAATACATGCAAAAACACCAATCTTTTCTTTATAATATTACTATAGATGAAATATCATATAGATTGTTAATAGTTCATTAATTAATAGTTTCAATGGATTTACGCGTCAAAATGTAGGTCAAAGCGAAAACCACTAAGAGAGGACATTGACCTGTACACCCCCAAACCACACCCATGTCAGTGGACTGTAATTAAATCTGAATGAACTGGACATAAATAAATTTAATTATTAATTAAAAAGCAATAAGCTAACTAAAGTGACTTCAGAATTGGTCAAATTACAAGTTATGTGACTGACTGGATAGACAAAGGATGACAGAAGAAAGTATGGATGGATTGTGTAAAATATGGGTAAGATTTGATGGCAGATATGGTACAATACAATACAGACCCTATAAAGTGAACATGACTGAGTTATCTATACTAATATAATAAACCGTAAACACACTTCTTTGTTGCCTTAGATGTCAGCAATCACAGCATATTTTCAAATAACTATTGTTTTTTAAAAAGCTCTACTTACATCAAGCTTTAGTCTCTATATTTTCACTCTGTTAAACTTAGGTGTAAACATTTTGGATAAAAACCCTAATGTGCGAAAGAGACCATAAGTTGTTGCCAACATCAAGAAAGCAAGGTTGTGCCATGGTTTGACATCATGTCATGTCATTTTGACATTTGCAATTGATAATTTGATGAATGTGAACAATAAAATAATTTTATTATAATTTCATGCGGATGAAGTTGCATGGGGACAGCTAGTTTATCATAATTATTATGACTTTTAGTTATGTAGAAGCCAATAAGCTTACCTAATACAGAACATAAATTAAACATTGTAATTTAATAAAGAGGAAAGGTTTGAATAGGCTCCAGAATTATTGATTTTAAAAATTCTTTCATTATTAGACAGGTACATTACTGAGTAACATAGACTATATTTTTATAACATCAACAGGAAGGGTATTGATATGACAGAAAAGAGACCAGATGCAGTAGCCACATGGGTAGTCGGGGTTGATTGCTAGTAGTACATAAGAATACTCACCTCTGGTGAATCAAATGGATATTTATTTGTAAATTTAAACTGAAGTACAAATTTTTCTCCCTCATATAATGTACCGGGAACTCCTTCCATGTGAATTGTCCATCTGAAAATATTATATATGTTAAACAAACTTGAAGATCTATTTTTAAACAGAAATTTAAATGTTCATGGGCAGTGGTTGTTTCCATTTCGGTGGATTCAGGTGGCCTCTTGCTTGTTTGCTACCTTATATTATAAATAATATATATTTATTTATGTATTACTATTTATTTAAATTTTATCACCCTATATAGTAAGAACAATCTTTTAAAAGGGATGTTTAAAAGCTGACAGTGATTAAAAAAAAGACCTTATAGTTATTAATGTTAAATTATGTAGTACTCAAGTATTATTGAAGAATTATTATAATAGTATTTATCCATTATTAGTAGATAGCTTTTGTTATCAGTATCAAGGTAAAAATACTCAAGGATTATGCATTGTTCTGTGCATGAGTGAAAGGAAAAATATTGAATTTCCTAACACAAAATGAATAAATCATTAATAAACAAACCAATTTATTTTTAGTTCTAAATTTGGTTTGTCTGAAACTTTGTTGTCTGTGTGAACGGTCAAACATTACACATATAGTTTATGTACAAATTACATTTCAAACTAGATGTAAAAATGAATGGTTATCAACTTTATCTAATTTTAATCACTAAAAGTCAACATTTTTCTTTAAATAAACAATAAGTTAATTGTTGTATTATTAAGAGACATATGGTTGTAGAGATTGACACTGCACTTATATTATTATATTAATAAGATAGTTATAGAGAGAAACAATACATACAATGTTAGATTTTGACTAGCCTGGTCTCCGTCGACTGTAACACCTGCTGGAGGTTCTTTCATCAGAGCCATAAGCTCTTTCTGTAATCTCCGCTAAAAAGGAAAAATAAAAAATTATATCCTTATCGATCTGACAATATAACAATGGTACAATTAGCTCTTGACACGAAACATTTCGACAGAACAAAATAATAGGATTCTGAAAGAAATCTTGTGATGGATCTGTCAAAACAGATGTGTTATAACAAAATTATATTGCATTTAATTGATATTAGTGCAAGAAATACGTAATACATAAATCGACTATCAATCGTCTCTTTACAACTAACGGAAAGTCAACGTAAAAGGTAACATTTTATCTAATTTTACGTACCTCCGACGGGGACATAGCCGCCATTATTCCAGTTCAGACCAGAGTGCCAAAGAGTATATAATTATAATAAAAAAGATACAGTACTTGTACTTCTAAAGATTGAAACTTGGATTGAAAATTGAAACGAAATCTCGCGAAATGAAAACAGGGTTGCTACACCATACACCACTTTAAAAAATAATGACAAGAACTTTGCAACAAACTGCAACAAAACCAAAGTATTTCTAGCAACGCAGACAGACGAATAACAACTGGTATTGTTTAATTTTATTATTATGCCACATCACAAAGATATTGCCAAATTGTTATTTATTTCAGTTGAACATTAATATATAGTATATAGGGAAGAAATTGTCTATTTACTGTTTAGTTCCATAGAGGTTGAACAAGTTACGTTTATGATTTTTGTGACGTTAGATTTTATTACAAAGTAGGTAGCAGTAGGTAGGTGTAAAATAATTCTAACTCTCAATTTAAAACCTTTCTAAACTTGAGGTCATTTTTATAGTATAAAGTATAAGGTTGCAAACGTAAAAGCGGCCGGCCTCTGAATGCCAAAGGACGAACAGAACACAGAAAGAGGGTATTTCATTTTCTGAAGCATTTCGCCGAATCTACTTTAGAATCTACTCCCCGTTCTCAACCACTACCACTCCTTATACGAAAGTGGCGAAAGGGGGAAGAGGACGCGAATATGGTCTACGTCTTGTAAAGTCATCAGGAAAAATGTGGAATTACTTGCATTTTACGCCTATTTTCCAATTATTCGTGATATTTCACCAGGGGAGCGAGCCTATCCTACTCAAGCAGATGCCTTACCCATTACAATTCATGGTACATAATCTTAAAATTTAGTTTCCTTTTAGAAACAATGAGAAGGCAAGGAAACATGCGTGTGCATTTTCTTATACTTATAATTTTAACATAAAAAAGGAGCATAGTTAAATAGGGAATTTTTAGTAATTAAAGATTTTTATGGCAGCATCGTGTTTGTCAGTGTCACTTGTAATAAAAAAGCAAGTTGTTTTTTATTGCCGTTTCAAATATTATGAAGCCAGTTAATTGTATTTCACAGTTTCATCGGTTACTTAATGTATTAAAGTTAAAGTGTACTCGATTTTATTACTTTCATACAATTTAAATACTGCGTAGTGAGTAATTGGTTCATGTGGGTAACGTTAATATTTCCGCTATGGTTTCTTATCCAAAGAAAACATCAGCAGAGTGGTTTATTGAACAACTAAATGTTGAAAATGCTAAATTATTAGCGTTTGTGCTTGTATTAGGTTTCATAGGATACCATGGTATTTTGCATCTGCGGTATGGTAAGTTTTTTGTGGGTTCAAATAAAATGATTGACGCTCTAACAACCCGGCACATAACAGACGCAAAGGCGTCCGTGAGTGGTGTATGGGTTGGTAAGCCGACAATAACCTTTTGCTATTAAAATGATTTCAATAACTATCTAAAATACCATGCTTTGAAGTTGCCTGAATAAAACAAAATTATACAAGAAATTTAAGTGCATGTTTTATAGCATTGTCATGTTTACTTTTATTATTAACTCATTTCTAGGTCCTGACTCCTGCACATGGTTGCTCTCCTCAGGGAGGTACAAAGGTGACCATGAGTGGCAGCCTTATGGATGTATGTTGCACAAATATTCCAAAACGTAAGTTATTTTATTTAAAAAATAACTCAATTTGCTAATTTGTATGAATCATATATTCATATTAGACATATCTAAATGTCCAGGTATTTTATATGTGTGAATACATTTCTTTATCAATTATTTACTTAAGATGTTCATCAATTATTGTGAAATATGGACAATAGCATAATAAATATCATGCTATCAACTCTTGACAAAACTTTTGATCAAATACTGAGTGTGCTAATGTGGGTATTTTTAAATTAATATGCTATATTACTTATTCTACATTTCAAAAATACTTACATTTGTTCTAATAAGAAAATAATTGTAATAAGAATTAATAATATTGAACATTAAGTTCACCAAAACGAGTAATTCTTGTAAAGGTATTGAAAATGCTTGTTTTACCAATTCTATGATGACATACTTATATAATAAAACTTTATAACAGAGATGCAAGACGATGCCTGCGTTACTTGGCCTTTTGGGGCAAATACAACAGTTTTGCGTTTATCGGCGATTCACGACTTGAACAATTATACGAGTATTTTATAGGTAAGTTAACATTTATTGATTTTACTTATCTATGTGTACTTTAACTGACTTATTACGATAAGATGTGTGTATACAATGTATTAAGTTATTGTTCAAGGACATTTTGCTAGGGAAATAGAGGCCAGGTACACTGGTAGAGGTAGACGGAGAAAGAGATGGATGAATTGTGTGAAAGGAGACATGATGAAGGGAGCGAGATGACTGAGATGACATATGGTAGTTATGCGGAGGACAAATACTTATTTCACCAGCTCTATGTGAGTAGGATAAGTAGGAAGATGATGATAATTTTGCTACAGAAATAAAGGATGTAATGTAAAATGATCTATATTTTTCTTCTTCTTTTTCTGTAGCTCTACAGCCCTTTGTGGGCCTTGGCTATTTTTACCACATATAAATTATTGACCACACATTGTACGAGTATTTTACAAACAATGTCAGTACTTAATAATATTTTTATGTGCGTCTCCTCTTCCGAATCGCATCTGCAATCGAAAATGGCTATGGGCAGCGGTTGCTTCGCCATTTTGGCGGATTTAGGTGGCCGCTAGCTCGTTTGCCACTTTATTGTCAAAAAAAATAAAATAAAATAACACTTTTTTATTAACAGGGGTCCTAAAAACGAGGTCAGATTTGGATTCGTCATATTCAACAATAGACCATCGTATGCCGAACTACACTTATGTGGACAGCAAACTAAAATTGTTTGTCACATTTATATGGAGCAATGATGTCTCTAAAACTATGGTTGAACAGTTCCGAGCTTGGTAAGATCTTTTACTATATATACACTCATTAAATAAGAATTTAATGTTAATTATTATTAATAAAACAATTATAAACCAAATGTATTGTAGACAACAGTTAATCAGCCATGAACCAGTTTAAAATTAGATCGCTTAGCTTTGAATCATTGAGCTATGGCTCAACAACTAAATTAGCTATGAGAGTGCTTTCTGGTGACTCGCAGCACATGTAAATCAAACTATAGGGATACAAATTGAACTGATCTGTGAGCCCGTTCTTTGATCTACTAATGCGAAAACTAAACTGATCTGCAGATCATCAGTCAACATAAATATCATTTTTAACTTATTAAAATACTAGTTTTTGCCAGCGACTCCGTCCATGTGGAATTAAAAAACAAAGTAAGTTGCCTATCCGTTCTAGACTATTCTCTACTAAGATTCTTTCAGCACTTTAGGCTACAAACTCTAACAAACATCCATCCATCTAAACTTTCGCATTTATAATGTAACTAATTTATTAAGATGTCCAGCAATAATATTGATCTACCATGTAGTTAAAAACATTTTTGTTCCAGGCAGCGTTTAGACCGACCTCCATCGGTGATAGTAGCCAGTACTGGTCTCCAGTTGGTGAAGAATCGGAACACAACAGATTTCATACTGGAGGAATACAAGAGGAATTTAACACAATTGGTTCAGCCAATAGATGCGTTAGCAGCTCGCGGTACACAAGTGCTGTGGAAACTTCTAGAATCTGTCGATACCACACTTATAAAAGATGATGTGAAGATCAGTAACTATGATATTGATGCTTATAATAGCGCTGCGATGGAGGTCAGTTAATAAATATTTTAATAATATTGAAACGTCCGAATGTAACGACATTTAAATATGAAATAGTGTCTTGTATGATTTTTTACAATCTATTTTATTATTCATTTAAGTTAAATATATTCTTTAATTTGTGTTTGTTAAAAAACTTAGTAAGTAGTCTATGTCATCTTTCATACTAAATTCTAAATCTATGCCAAATTTCGTTAAGATCTATTGAGCCTTCCGGAGACTTCTAACAAAATCCATTTATAATGTTTAGGGCCTGTCCCTCCACTGGCTGATAGAGGCTCAGATAGCTTAAAAATGACCTCCTTGTCAGATAAGGCAACAAAATCTGATGTTTTCACATTCGACATTTCCATCACATATTTTACATGTTCAATTGTTATCAGACAATTTACAATTTGGCGAGACAGGCCCTAAATGTATTCATTTTATGTATAGATACTGCGGCACAGTTCTGTCCGCGTGTGGGGCGCGGCGCGGCTGGTGGCGGCGGGCTCTGCTGGGGGCGAAACCCTGACCCGCACGGCGCTGCGCCACTGCGCACAGATCCTGCTCAACATGTTCTGTAATGATCATATGAACTTCAACGACGGCTCCTGTTGTGCTCAGCCGGAGCCCTACACGCAGCTGCAGATGCTCACCTTCGCACTGTTTCTGCTCTGGTGAGATGTTACAACACTTTCTTCTATCTATCAATAACTAGCAGTTCCTCACGACTTCGTCCATGTATATATAGCCTATTTTACTAAGCGATAACATAGATTTCTAATGGTGTAAGAATTTTTGAAATCGGCCTAGTAGTCTTGGAGTTATCAATACATACAAAAATATAAACTTATTCTCTTTATAATATTAGTATAATATAATAAAGTGTAAACACACTTTGTTATAAAGGATGTCAGCAGTAACAGTATTTTTTAGAATAATTCTTTAAAAATAAGCTCTAAACTGAAGACACACAGGCAATATATTTTCACGCTATTATATTTAGGATGTGAATAATTTGAAAAAAATCTTATAAGAGAAAAGGACAAAAACTACAAGCAAAATAAAGCAAGATTACTGTGGTAATGGTAATTGTTAGTCAATGTCAACAGCTTATCATTGGAATGAAGGCTATGTTTACCTGGTATGGTACCTGGAATATGTTTACCTGAATTTACGATTTACGACTACATACCACTTAAAAAATTACGACAACAAACTAAAATTAAACTAGTTATACACTACATATGCAAACAAAAATGGAAATGGGCAGGGCATATAGTTAGATGCAAAAAAGAAGAATGGGCCAAAGATGTGACAGATTGGTGCCCAAGAGGAAGGAAAAGAAGCAATAGAAGACAGCGTCTTAGATGGGAGGACGAAATCAGTACATCCTTTATAATAGACTAGCTGTTCCCATGACTTCATCCGCATGAAATTGTGAAAATTATCAACAGCAAATGTCAAAATGACATGACATGACAAACCTTGACGGTCTTGCTTCCTTGATGTTGGCAGCAACTTGTGGTCTCTCTCCCACATTAGAGTTTTTATCCAAAATATTTACCCCCTAAGTTTAATGGTGTGAAAATATATAGCTTAAAGCGTGACGTAAGTGTAGGGCTTTTTATTAAAAAAAATAATTATTCAAAAATACGCTGTAATTGCTGACATCTTAGGCAACAAAGAAGTGTGTGTTTACACTTTATTATAATAGTATAGATTAGACTAAGAATTCATTTTTTCTACGAAATAATTCCTTTATTTTGTTATAACGTGACAAAAAAATTGGTTCTTCTAGCGTAGTTGTTGCCAGTTTGAGGTTTATATGGAATTGGTCACAAAGCGTGAAGCAGAAGATGGAAGGGTACACCCTGGTGAGCCAGGCTACCGTGGTGCAGCCTCCTTCTCCCGTGCTGGCGCTGGCCAAGCTCGGCATGATTATGGCATACTTCTATCTTTGTGATAGAACTAACTTCTTCATGAAAGAGAATAAATATTACTCGGAATGGAGTTTTTGGCTGCCTGTTGGTTATGTGTTTGCGTTGGGACTATTCTTTACTGATGATTCGAGGTCTAGTAGGTGAGTATTTGATGTTAAGGCTCCTATGTAAACTAACATAAGTTTGAAATACAAATTTCGTATATTACTGCGATTAATTTTTCATGAAATTCACTGAAATCTACAGTTCTTTGTGTAACGTTAGAATGTCACTTTCAAATTAACACAGAAATTACTGTTTACTAAGTTAATTTAAAAATAATTTTACTTGTTTATTCAGATGTTCTGTGACAAATTTCATTAAGATCCTTTCAGCTGGTAAGACTACAAACAAACATCATACCAAACTTTTGTATTAAAAATCGAAAAAAGTGAAATTTTAATTAAAACAAATTGTGGTAATATTTTATATGATTTATTTAAAATAGCTATGTTACTGATGATAAAGCTTTTTAGTGGTGAAAGAATTTTTGAAATTGGTCCAGTAGTTTTTGATTTATTACAATCAAAGTTTTCCTCTTTATAATGATAGTATAGATAATACAGACAGGACTATTGCTGCCAATAGGCCTGATATAGTAATAATAGATCGGTCCGAGAGTTGTGTAATGCTAGTCAATATCACTATCCCACATGACGAGAATCTCGTGAAAGCCGAAATTGAAAAATTATTAAAATATTTGGATTTGGCTCACGAGATTACCGCCATGTGGCGTATGAAATCGACTACCATTATTCCGATAGTCGTTTCG